AGTTGCGTTATTATGACAGTTGGCGAACTCCATTAATTACAGAAATTGCCGCGTTAATGTAATTCATAGCCTGTCTAACTGTTTCGACAACAACCGCGATATAACATTGACGTAAACGATACAAATTTTGATTTCACCAAAAAATATCTTCATAATGAAAACGTGGTATAAATTGTATAAAGACAAAACAAACATGTGAAGAACTATGTTTCCAAACTATAAATTAATCTCTTCTGTTGCATTAAGAATAAATAGAATAGTCAGTAAGGACATAATAGCTTACTATATTTATCTGTAAAATGTATTGTGCTCAGTATGTGATGGGGCATATCTTACGCTTATATATTTAATCAAAAATTATGTTATAGCTATCAAGTCTATTTAGGTTTACGAATGATATTACAAGTTGATTAAACACATTTATATTACAGATAGTACAAAGAACTGTGAACTCATTGTGAGCTATATTAATATTAAAACAACAGCGTCAAAGAGATATTCGCCTTTTGACGTCAACTTTAAAAGTTTATTTAATTTTATTTAACTTGTTCCTTTGGTAATCTTGGACTTAATACTATTGTGTTATAAAATAAATATGATTATTTTTTAATTTTCAACATTTTACTTGGGATTACTTCACTTTCTATAATATAAAAATAATAAATTTATAAATTTATAGCGTTACTGGGATAACTAGAGCGTCGGTGGCTCAGGGGTTAAGCACTTGACTTGCAATCTGCAGGTCATAAGTTCGAATTCCGCCATGTACCAATGTATTTTTCGATTTCCGATTTACATACAACAAGAAAGAAAACATCGTGATGCAACCTGCACATATCTAAGATATTCAAAAATATGTGTGAAGTCAACCAACCCGCACTGGGCCAGCGTGGTTGACTATGGCCTAATCGCCCTTAAATTAGGGTAGGCTCCGAGCTCCCCTCGGTGGGTCGTATAGTGAGCTGATGATGACTGAGATAACTATATAAATAATCCGTATTTGTTTGTCTTTCCAAAAAGTGTGACAAAAAATTTCAAAGCAAAAAGTGTCATTTTATAACATAGCTTTAATTTTTCATCTACAATTTTGTTTTTAAAAGTGTGAAGAATATGTATTTGCTTTTTAAAACAAGTAACCTGTTCATCTTGTCAATTAGAAATAACGAGGAAAGAACAAGACTGTATCAATCTCGAGCAACCACTTTACAGTAATCTTGTTTCTTCAATAACTTAAAAGGTCTGATTAAATACCGCCTTGCGAAGGAATTTGCGAGACCGTAAAAGTTGTAGCTCTCTGTTCACCGTTCATGTCCGTTAACAACGGTCGTGTCGCTGTTGAGAAAATTCTTTGTTTATTTTAAACAAAGTAACAACTCAACTGAAATTAAGAAAATGCCTCTAGATTTACTTAGAATTTTTTTTTTACTAAAAATTTCACTACAATTACTAATAAATTAGGAATTTTAATAAAACCGTCGTTGTCTCCTATATAATAAGCTCAAGAACTAATCAGTTTAAACATATGCACCATTACAAAAAATGTTTGAACACATTTAGTCTTTGGAAATAATTCTATTCAGTAACTAAAAACTACGTATTTTTGTTTTATAGAACTAAAAAACATTATAAAATATTTTAAGGTGTCATGCACATTTGCTAACACAAGTTAAAAACATGTATATCTGACATGCAAAAATGAAAAAAATAAGAAAAATTCAAAATCGACATTAAAACATCTGTCTGTATATCTGTTAAAACTTGCAAGCTTTTAACATCCCATCCAATTGACAGATTAGACAGGTGTCGGGTGTTGAAATAAAGGTTTAGCAAAATTATATAATTGACAATCGGTGATGGATACGAGTTTTGCAAATGTAAAAAAAAAAGTTGCAGCACAATTTAGTCAATTATTTTCAGTTGTTAAGCAATACATTCAAAAATGGTATATTTTTTTAATTAAGCTTAGCTTGAAAATAATTTACGTCTGAAATATTTATAACATACTAGCTGTCGCCCGCGACTCCGTCCGTGCGGAGTTAAAAAACATATGTAGCTTATGTCTTAAAGACTATGTTCTACATCTATGCCAAATTTAATCAAAATCCGTCTAGCCGTTCTGAAGATAACTTCAAACAAACATCCATCCAAACATTCGCATTTATAATATTAGTAAGATAAATAATTTAAGTAATACTTATTTAGATCGAAATCGTGAGATATTACGGCAACAAATTTTTTTGAGAGCCGAAGCCAAAGATTCGTTTTTTCTTAGAAAGGTGCGCTAACTGAACTTAGTTTTCGACATAAGTTGCTAAAGCCTTCGTATATAGTTAATTACCTATGATGAATATAGATTAAAGTGTAACACGAATAATTATTGATAAAATTCCGCATTGAGCGTTTCGCTTTTCAGTTTTAATTTTAAAACCTTTGACAATTTCATTCGCATACTTCCTCAATAAAACAACTTCAACCAAAATGACAAGTAATGCAATAAATTATTTAAAATTTGTATTAAAATCGTTTAAATCTTTCGCATTTAATGAGTTTTTACTTGTACCATTGTGTAATCTATAAATATCAATAAAATTGTAGTGTCTGTTTATCTAAAAAACATATTTAAAAACCATAATTTTTTCGAAAAAATTATATGTCGTACACATGATGTATTTACGTAGTTGATTTAAGAATTTTTTTTTTTTATTTTTTTGTTTGTCTACAAGGCTCCGTTAGTTTCGGGAAATATTCGGAGCGACTGGACCGATTAAGACGGGATTTTGACAAGAAAGTAGCTGATGTACTCGGTGATAAAGGCCACATTTTTTTAAATTCTACGATGACGTAGCCGCGTGCGTCCGCCAGTGTACAATAAATCTCTCGGAGGAAATACTATCAATTTAAGTATAATAGTCAATTTATCTTAACTTTAATGTTAACCAATTACCAATCATATCGGATTTATTTACATGTTGTAATTACTTGATCGAATGCTTTTCATTTTGTCGAAGTTAATTCTCGTAATTTGTTGATTTATTTTTACTGACATAAAATATAATTCCTAATTCAAAATCAGAATAATAAAACGTAAAAATTGGAATACTTCAACAAAAATGTTTAAATCTATCAATTATCGCGCTAGTTTCATTGTAGTACTTTTGCAAACTTTCCAACATTAATGTAATATGGAGCTACCGACGCGATCTTAACCGTGTTCTTTGGAAATTTGCAAATAAACAATCGTAGAAATAGAAAACAGGAAATTGTTTGAAACAACACAAAAAATTATGTTTACTCATAGTTGAAGCAAACTTTAAACTGAATCACCTCCGGTACAATCAAATACTTAGCTGCATCCATGCATTTCCTGACGGCTCCTTCATAATAACTATAACTTTAAAATTCAATATTTCGCTGTAGCTTGTTCAGTATGCATTTTTGATACAAAATTGTGTTTAGACTGTATTTCATGATTTCAACATTTTATTCCCCGACTTCAATATTTTTTTAAAATTCTATTGTAGAGTGAAAAGGGAACAGATTTTAATAAAAAATTTAAGAGACTTGTTTAATAAGTAAAATATATATGTTAACAGGTGTGCGCAGCTATGATGTCCTGTCCTTTGCCCCTGCCGCTGCTGCCGGCTTTGCATCCACAACCAACGCTTACCTCGGACTTCCCTATTCACATCGGCATAAAGGTGAGTTTTCTTTGACTAGCCTATTTTGATTTCTTGTGACGTAACCCTGATGTTATAATCCTACCAATTTTAATGTTCTTTTTAACATTTATTATATTAGTGTTGTCATAATGTCATTTGAAAATAACAATAACATCAAGAATCCTAATAATATATTTACATACATATATCTTTAATATCAATTAGCCAAAAATATTATATACTAGGTAATAACGCGTTTATAACACTAGCTATTATTCAGTAGTATTAGGTAGTTTGTCATACTATTAATTCTCATTTGAATAATTACGCCGACATTAAATATATATCATTTGTTTTGATTTTTCCAACTGTCCCTGTTTCATCTTAATAAAATAATTTAGGAATGTATAAATTTTCTGTAATATTTACAAGTCGTTTTTATTTTTCTTTCTTTAACGCTTCATGTTTACGGTCTAAAGTCGTTTGCTGTCGTAAGTAGAAAAAAAAATTATAATTTAATCCGGCCGCCTCCTCCGACGAGTTTCAGACAACTTAAATTGCGAATATATCAAAGCTAAATAATATAAAGTAAGCAAAGAATATAGGATAACTTTCCGTCGACGCTCCAATGTAAAGGGAGGTTCACACTGTTTGCTTTTAATGTCAACTCGCACAAAATATGAATAAAAATATTCAACATTTTCAGATATTTGGTATTCAATTGGTTTTGATTTATTTTACCGGAGTATGGAGACATAAGACTTTTATTACTTATGTTGAAATAAATGGAAAAGAAGTTCTTTTTAATCATTTATTACTTGTTAAATAATTCCAGTACATGCTTACATAATGACATTTTACCGAAGAGAGAGCAAAGAGTAAGTTTTGTCAATGGAACTGGACACATCCAAAGATTATAAAATTTATTAATTACAAAAACTTATATGTATTTTTCTAAATAATGTACAAGTTTTAAAACAAACTAAAACAAATGCTATTTCTTTCAAATACTATTATAATTTAATAATTTTTAAGAAACTCATAAACAATGTCATGAACTTTTCTAAGCGCAATCTTAAAGTCAAAATGTCACTAGATTCGTCGTTACGGAGCCAGCCAATGCAAACATTTGGGATGAACTTCTGCCCAATTACCTTTGCGAGTTAAACCGTCTTAATTTGTAAGTAGATATCGATTACTTCTGTCGACTTTAATTAGTTTCTAGATCGGAGACGCGCTTCGTTTGTTTCATTTAAAACACTCGCGCTCCATGACAACAAACTTTTTCTCCCAATCACTTTGATTAATTTGAAGATTCTTTTGGATTAAAAGTAGCATACTTATGTATGGATTGTCTTATGGTTATATTTATAGCTCATATTAACTGAAGTGTAAAAATTCCTTAATATTTCTCCTTATTAAAACACCAGCATTAGTAAGATTTTTATTATTTCTGGAAATTAAGAAGTAATAAATTTACTAATCATGCTTTTCCAAAAATATACAGAAAATGTATCATTACTCCAACAGAAATTTACTGACGACTTCTCTTCTGACTAGAGTTTATTTAGTAAATGCCATTACTCTGTTTTAACATAATTCTCGCCGTTGATTCAATTTTCGTCAACGTGAGTCATATTTCAGTAGTCGAGAGCGGAGATTTCAATTCGTACATAATATTTGAATAAATAAATATGCATGAAACCAATTTGTAGAGGCCGTACCGTTGCTTATGGCCGGCCGACTAGTCTACGATATCATTTGTGGACCTTCCTACTGGTTACGGATGAGCTACGCGCTACGAATGAGCTTCGTAGCGTTCTACGATGCCCAAACAACGTAGCGCGTTCGTCTAACTCCAATGTTTCGTGCCAATTTCGTAGCAGTGAAGACAAGCTTGTTATTGTTTGTATCGTACGTCCTTTGTGCAGAGATCACGAGTTAAACGATTAAGCACATTTGCATGGTACGTAGTCTACAAGGGATGTTGTTATGTTCTCTTAACTAAACTTGCTATACACAAGGTGTGAAATTAAACGAAAATTGAATAATGTAGTATCATTGTAATGTTCCAAGGAAATATAAAAAATTAACTTCTACGGATTATTAATAATTATTAATAAAATGTACAGAATAGCTTAGAAAGAAATGTATTGCGTACAGAGTAAAATCTGTATCGCGCTAAATTTCTTTAAGATTGTGATAGTGACATAGTAACCTAGATTGTAACAAACTCGATGGGAATGCTTTCTAGCAGGTTGCGAATAATGAGATATTTTATTTTACAAGAGAAATTTCTAGATCTTATTCTGCGCCGAGCAGTAAATAAGTTTGTAGTATCGTTAATTTGCTTTTAACAGGGTATTTTCTTTGTTATCTGTTGTAGATAATCAGGAACACTCGTGCGTTGCTTTTCTTTTAAATTTAATCCGATATTTCTTTACAGCATTATTTTATTAGTTATTTTCTGCTTATTAAAGTAGTTCTAGCTCTATGATCTAGTGGTTCTGGATTAGTAAGTTTTTAAAAGGAAAAAATTGTATACTATTCAATATGTGGAGGAGTACTCTAATATATTTTATACCAAAGCGTAACTTAGGCACAATTTTTCTTGTTCTATACAGTCCATTATATTAATCCTTTTGTGTGTCGATTTATTTATCTAAAATGTTAAATTATTCAAACTTTCGTGAGACATTATAACAAACTTATATAATAACGACTAAACACTCACTTATATACGTCCGGTGGCGGTGCCGACTAGTTTCGAGCCCGTCGGGGGCCACCAGGGTGTAAACACCCTGAAGAAGGGCGACGAATATATGTGAGTGTTTAGCCGTTTTTATACAAATTTAAAATGTTTTAATTATAAATTAAACAACAAAGTTAAATCCTTTTATTTATGGCATAACTTATTTATTTAGTTTACGTCCCAAAACATAAAACAAAGAGGGTTTAGGTCTTTGTAACCTTGGATGTTGTTTAAGACAATTTTAATTATTCTGTATTAAATTTCCTTGATCCCTTCGGCGAGGCATAATTTTAGTCTTTTTACTGTCGGTCTTAGATGAGAAAGGCAATAATGGCTCATTTCTACTAAATTCTTGACCCCAAAAGAATATATTTACTTAGTTAAAGAAGATGATATTAGCCTCGCAAATGGAAAAAAATCGTTGATAGTTTTGACAAGGTGTATGTAAATGTGTCATATCTAGTTCTGTGAACTTTATTTAAAAAAAAAATGGTAAGAAAAAGGAATGTAAGTTGACTTACCAAAATGCTTTTAATATTACTTGACGATTTAAGAATATTAAAATTATAGATAAGCATATTTAATTCCCACTTCGCTTGATAAGTGATTTAAACCTACTAGTGGTGAATGAATAACTGAGCACAAACGATCCCTGAAACCATTAAACACATCACAAACGATAGGTTAAACTCTCGTGTAGTTGCAAAACCATTCGGGGATCAAATTAACCGAGCTCTTTGAACAGGTAACGTGAGAAGCACTAGCGACCGCACGCCGCTTGCCTCTGACGGATGAAATGAAAGCCTTTGTAGGTAGATGCCACACGGGCGGTGTGGTGTCGCAGCAGTACCGTCATATAGTTTTAAAATACAAATCGCATCTCGTTTTAGTGCACCCAACAACAAATCTATTATCGTACAAACAGTGAATTCAACTGCCGAACATATAAAAACATTACTGCTATCTCTTGTGTCTACAAGGTTGAGAGAAATGGCAATATAGGCACCAGTAGTAAACTCACTGAAAAACTAATCGCAGTTGTCACGTGCTTCAAGTGAGAGTATGATCGGATGATTTGATGTTGGGCTGTGATGGCCCCACCGCCAGTGCGGCATCTCTCTTAGGGATCAAATTTGTGACGGCTCATGTACTTTGCTGTTTTGAACTTTGAATTATTTACTTTTCAGTGGCACGATTCCTTTGTACAAACATCACTTTGTATGTTTAATTCAATGTAGCTATGACTTGATTATTGTACTATAAATATTTAATTGTTTTAAATTTTAGACTAAACTTGTAATTAGGAATTGTAAAAATGTACATGACATGGCTTTATAAGTGTTCTTATAATATTGCTAACAGTAATATCTTGAAACTTGACTAGTTGATTTCAACGACATCGCTCTGAAGAAGGTTGAATTTTCAATTTCCATCTTTTAGCCTCCCAACATTCCAATAATACACGAATCTTATAAAGTATAAGACTCATTTTCATCATAAATACAAAGTAATATTAAGAAACATCGGATGGATCTTTTCATCAGCGCTAACGAGAAGCGACGTCGCGGACGAAAAAAAGAGCTTCTAAATGTTGTGGTGACGTCACAACACGTTAAATAACGGGCATTATCTGGCCTACAATATAAACGTCGCGACCTGTGCCGCAATAACCGACGCCCCAGGATAATGGCCGCCCGTCCGTCATCTTTCCCGGGAACAGCCTGTCTCGTAGTCGATATTTTTTTATATTACACCCTATATTATGTCGCCAGTATCGATTATAAGTTAATGGAATTGTCTTTTAATTTTATTATCGAATGATAAACCTTTAAAGGGTATCGATTAAAAACTATAATTTTTAATTTAGTAAGTTTAAATTATGGTATGTCATATAAAAAAAAAACTTATTCGGCCATAGATCTAGCTTGTGTATTCAGGTGTTTATTTTTCGTCGTTCTCTGCTTTACTCTTATGTTGTAATGTACACAAAAAATAGAATTTATAATGTGTATTACCACTACAGAAGTTTGAATACTTTTGCCATTATTCTTATTATTATTAAAAAAAAACAAATAAAATATTATGTCTTAATACCAATGTATTGCCCGTTAATAAGTTTAACTAACTGGTGGTTTCTGAGACCAAAACTTGGGTTATTATCTATTATTTTAACCATTTTAAATTTATGATTTCGGTCTCAAAAACCCGCGGGAAATCATATCTTCTGTTACGTTGATAAGGTTTTATTATTATTAAATTTTAAACATTTTCAATAGAAATAAGACCT